CCCCCAAGAGAAGGCGCCGGGGGAGGAAGTAGCGCGGGGAGACCCTGGCGTTGCCCGCGCCGCCCAGGAAGACTTTCCTGGCAAGTTCTGCAGACGGTGCCCCTTTCTTGGGACGATCAACGTAGATGGGCAAACCACACCATCTTAAATAGCCTTGCGATGTCTCCCGGGCCCAGGCCGGTGTCTGAAATGGAAGGTACTGCTTTGGCTGGTGGTGATACCCGAGTGTGTAATAACACAGTCACGACAATAGTCACCGTTTGCTGCGCACTCTCTGATGCCAGGCACCATATGCTAAAGGAGTTACAAGTATTAACTCATTTGATTTTCACAGCAACCCATAAGGGCGCTGTGCTTAGTCCCATTTTACTGGCGGTGGTCGTTGAAGTTTGAGTTCACTCAGCCTTCAGGCTTCCAGCTTAGGCCCACCCTTCTCTCTCCCTGCTTGGTGTGACTTGGCCAAATAACATGACCCCTCCGTCACTACCGCCACCGTCTTCATACTCCACCCTAAAATCCAGCTTGACGATGCTGCTGTCAATTGCACTGTCAGGGGACTAGGATCTTATCTGGGGCTCTAGGACGCTTGTTGGGGCCACAATTGTGAAACCTTTTGTCTCTATACATCCTATGGGGGCCTGGGATGAGGATGAGGGTTGGGGGTCATGGAGGCTGTCTGGTGGCCTGTCAGCCTAAAAGAACCAGGTTCCTACAGACAAGGCCCCACCCTCAAATTCTGGGCTCCTTCCACCCCTTATGGTGGGAAAATAATGTGCTGTCTTCCACCCTAACCCCCACCACCCTATGCTCTCCTTAGAGAAATGCCTGGATCTCTTTCATCTGGTCTGATGGTCACAGTGGGCCAGGAACCGGGGTGGGGGGCTGCAGGAAAAGGAAGGCAAGGCTGATGACGTGCTGCATTCCACAAGTAATTAAGAGAGAAAGAGGTGAGTGGCTGCCCCAGGCATCTAGCTAGGTGGGCATTCTGACTCCAGGTCTCAATTCTGTCTGCACCAGTTCCTTAAGGGTTACCAGATCACCTAGGTTCAAATCTTGGCTCTGCCTTTTAGTCCCTCTGCGGCCCTGGACAAAATAAGTCACTTAGAGCAACCAATAGTAGGAACCGGCTATGGTTGCTGTAGAGATTTAGAGTTAATAGCAGCTGCTCATGTTTATTGAGCATGGACTCTGTGCCATGCAGGCTCCCACTGTCCTCACCAGAGCTGGGATTGGGCAGGAGAGTCTGTGCCCTTGGCAAGGAAGTAAACAGAACAGTCCTTTGTTCATAGTAAGTGCTCAGTGACTATAAGCTGTTCTGATTACTAAAGTAGATAAACTCGGATGCCGCAGTGCCACTGACACTGCCCCCAGCCAAACACCTGGACAATGATAGCCAATAATGAATGAATCAATCAATCAATCAAAGTATGTGACTCTAGATGAGTATTATTTTTAAGGTGTGTTGGATGGAGCCATCTGACTCAATGCTCTATAGTAATTTCTGCAACAACTCAGTCTCACCTCACTGCTTTTACAGAGCTGGGCCAAGCTGGGTTGATAAAATCATTTGTCACACCCTCTTCTGCCTTTCCGGCACTCAGGGCTCTGGGTTGCTGAAGGGAGGGCCCCCAGCATCATTCATGTGTGGTGTCCTCCCAGACTTGGGGACACCTGCCTGTGCTCTGCTTGGTGTAACCCTAGAGACTAGCAGCAGAGTCTGTGCTTGTAATCCCAGCCAGCCTGATCGTACATCAGTAGGGGGGCCTTTGTCACAATCACTCCAAGTTCTCCGACATGGAAGAGGCTGCCTTAGTTGTCATGAATGAGTGCCCTGTCACCAGCAGCATGCAAGGAGAATCCAGGGAAGGGTTGATGAGGACACCAGAGGAAGAATTCTCACCTTAAGTGGTATTTGGAGTGGATAACCTTTGCCCTCTGGGTGTCTGTATGCTCTCAGTCTCCCAAGCTTATCAACGGGGAAGCTGGGGAGGCTGGGAGCTCAGGCTGGGTCGAGGCTGCCCTACCATCCTTTGTGAAGGAGGCCATCCTGACTGTGCCTGACCCATATACCAGGCAAGGTGTTATGTCCTGGGGCCCCAGGGGTGAACAGGACAGTGTCCCTGTCCTTGGAGAGTTCACAGCCCCCTTGTAGATGACTGCACAGATAGTCAACAGCAGCAACAGTAAACGCTCAAGATAACAGGCAAAGTGCTTGGAGGGGGGCCAGGGGAGAAGCAGCTGGCTCTATCCATAACCCCCTGCATCCGCTCTCCCGAAAGCACCCATTAGAGGCTCTTATTGTCTTCCTCCCTATATACTTTTCATTTATTTTATTTATTTATTTATTTTTTTTGAGATGGAGTCTCGCTCTGTCGCCCAGGCTGCAGTGGAGTGGCGCAATCTCGGCTCACTGCAAGCTCCGCCTCCCAGGTTCACACCATTCTCCTGCCTCACTCAGCCTGCCGAGTAGCTGGGACTAGAGGCGCCTGCCACCGTGCCCGGCTAATTTTTTGTAATTTTAGTAGAGATGGAGTTTCATCGTGTTAGCCAGGATGGTCTCGATCTCCTGACCTCATGATCCGCCAGCCTCGGCCTCCCAAAGTGCTGGGATTACAGGCATGAGCCACCGCGCCCAGCCTCTATATACTTTTCTAAAGTGATGTGTCCAGTTCAGAAACATCCCTTAGGCAGCCATTCTGCCCTCAACTCTTCTGAGTTACCTGATCTTTACACTGGGCATAAAAAAAAAAAAAAAATTCGCCTCGCTGGGCTGCTGTGAGAAGTAACATTGACATTCATTAAGTGTGCCCCTAATGCCAGGCAAGAATAGATGCTTGGTGCATGGTAACAATGAGGAGTCATCATTATTCACTGTGAGGGTGAGATAAGTCGGCGAGGACCTTGGCTGTGCTCCTAGGTAGCTATGCGACCCTCTCCTGCACAGATATAAAAATATCTGCCTCATACAACTTGTGAGAGTCAAGTGAGGTGATTCGATGGAAAAGGTTTGCAAACTGGAAATGCTGATTCCTATTGCTAACATTATTATTGTGATTCTTACCTTGGTGAAGTGTTCCTCTCAAGGCCCCAGGGGGGTGGGGACGGCAGTGGGGATGGGGATGGAGCCAGGAGGCAGCCAGCAGCTGTTGCAGGGGTGGGAGGGTCCCTCCCTCCAGACTTCCACAGGAACCTGGGAGCAGCAGGGGCTCCATCTGCCCTGGTCGCCCTCCACAAGCGGGGCAGCAACACCTCCTTGGTGACCAGGTGTGAGTGAGCCCTTAAGAGTGTGCCTGTGTGTCTGTGTTTGTGCCCCTGCAGGAACGTGGGGTGAGCACAGGGATTGCCAGTGTCTGCAGCCAGAAATCACTATGGACGAGGAAGAATGGGGATGTAATTGGATTCCAAAGATGCTTGGAGTGAGACTACTGTTAGCACCTGGGACTGCAGGAGAAAGGCCTGCGGAGCGGGGGTTGGGCCTAGGCTTTGGGGCTGGGGCGGGGAAAGAGGTTTCAGCACTGATGGGCCCTTGCGGAGGAACATGATGTTGTCAGAGACCTGTTGTGGTTGAGCCCAGGGATTTTGGAGCTGACAGAGCTGGGTTCAAGTCCTGGTTGTGGGACCATGGGCCAGTGATTTCACTTCTCTAGGCCTCAGTTTGCTCATCTGTAAAATGGAGATAATAACAGGGCCCACCTGGTGGGAGTTATTGGAGGTTTAGCAGAGAGGCTGCATGTGAAGCCCTCAACATGGGGCAGGCACATCGACAGCTATCAATTAGTGCCACTGGTGTTATTATGAGGCAGCCTGGAGGAGGGGAGGGAGAGGGCCTCAGGACTGCTGGTGCGTTCTCAACTGGAAAGGGGAGCTCTGGGGTGAGAGTTGTCTAGCCAGGGTTCATTGAAGCTGGCACAAAACCCAGAGAGAAGGAGCCTCTGTCCCATGACACAAGGACTGAGGCAGAGAGCTGGGCTTTCACAACTGCTTCTGGTTCCCCTTCCTGGTTTCCA